ACCAAGGACACCAGGGACACTAAGGACATCAGGGACATCAAGGACATTAAGGACATCAAGGACATCAAGGACATCAAGGATACTAAGGACATCAAGGACATAGCTAGACGAATTGCAATTGGGAGGTACACAGCTGGGTGCATCACCAAGGATATCAAAGACATCAAGGAAATCAGGGACATCAAGGAGACAGCTAAGCGCATCACCAGGGACACTATGGATATCGAGGACACCAAGGACGTTAAGGACATCAGAGATATATTAAGGATACTAAAGACACAGCTGGACGCATTATTAAAGATATCAAGAACATTACCAAGATCATCAGGGACATCAAGGACATCAGGGACACAGCTGGGCGCATCACCAAGGACACCAAAAAGATCGGGGACACTAAGAACACCATACGGAGCAGTCACACAGAAGCTTGCTTCGGTCCCCGACCCACCGATAGTGGTCGGGATCCGAGCGCGCACTAGGCAGTAGACAGTCGGGACCGCCTTGAACAGTTTAGGCTTCTTCTAGCCTTAGCCGCCATCTGCCGCGCTGGAATCGACGGGCACGGATTTGAGGATATCTTAGGCTTGCGGGCCGGCGGGGATTTGGGTGCCTGTTCCTGGCATTAATAGGAGCGTAAAGGCTGAAGAGACGAGGTCGGGCAGCTTGCCGATGGTTTCGATATCCGTTTCGGCATCGCAGTCGGCCGACGTGCAGCACAGGCCAGCGTGGAGCATAACACTGCGCTTATCGGCTGGCTCTAAAGCATTCCATTATAATCGTGAGGTGAGCGGTAGTTTATGGAAGATATGCAGCGTCAATTCCTGCGTATTTCTGAAAGGGTGAGCTAAGAAAATTATACGGTCAGACTTATGTTGTAGATGCCGCTGCCGTCGGGGGTGCTCAGGATAGAAGGCGAGATCAATCCGCCTGCGGCCTATAGATCTCGTCAGCGCATCGCATTAATATAAATATTTAAAGAGGCTCTTCTATCTAATCGTCGGTTACTTTGAATTTAATCTGTAAAAAATCCCGACAGCAAGTCGGTCAATTAATTCGAATTAAAATTTAAGGAAACCGACGATTATATGCTCCGTTTTCAAAAACGCTCTATTGCTGGGTGCTCCCGTGAGCCTCCTTATAGTGCCCCCACATATAAGGCGCGCATGGTATTGACAGCCCGAGACTGCAGCGCAAACATACCTACTCACAAATAACATTATTAGATTCGCATTCCTCGACATCGCTATCGGCCTTTGCTTTTCTAGTCTATACGCATCTCTCCAAGAACAGCAAGCCCGCCCTTTGCTTCTCTGCCCTCGGAAAAGAAGTTTGCAAGATGGACCAACGACCTGAACCATTTCGTACGAAAGCGAATCTAGCAGCGAGCGAGCGTACTGTTCGAGTACGGCCGGCATTCTATGCATCTTCATCAACAGCTACCAGTACATCATCGACAGCTGCGACATATATGCTGCGAGTGACCTAGCGGGTTTGACGTTGATCCGCTAGGTGGCGGCTGGAGGAGCAGGACGGACCGCAGTTAAGGAAGGGAGCAGTACGGAGAGAATGCTAAGGTCACAGCCAGACGGGCTTCAGTTGAAAGGGTATAGAAACAATGCCAGGATCACAGCTAAGCATATCACTAAGGATACCAGGGCCACCAAGGACATAGCTAGACGGACTGCAATTGGAAGGGTACGGAAACAATGCCAGGAATACAGCTGGAGGCACCGCAATTGGAACAGAAGCAGCACGAAGATAATGCTAGGAATGCAGCTAGAAGCATCGCAATTGGAACAGAAGCAGCACGAAGACAATACCAGGTATATAGCTGGACGGACCGCGGTTAAGGAAGGGAGCAGCACGGAGAGAATGCTAGGATCATAGCTAGTCGGACTGCAGTTGGAAGGGTACGGAAACAATGCTAGGATCACAGCTGGGCATATTACCAAGGATATCAAGGCTATCAAGGACACAGCTGGACGCTCGCAATCAAGGGTTGGGGAGGGGGGGGGTTAAGCAGAACGGAGACAATGTCAAGGATACAGCTGGACGCTCGCAATTGAAAGGAGGAGCATGACGGAGAAGACGCCACGAATACAGCTGGATGAACCGCAAATTAAAAGGGAGGAGGAGAGAAGGGGAGAGGGGGGGCAGGACGAAGAGGATGCTAGCCGGGCATATTGCAGTTAGAGTACGGTGAGGATTTCAAGGACACAGCTGCACGCATTGCTATTGCGACGGGGGCAATGCGAAGAGAGTGTCAAGATACAAGTAGACGGACCGCAATTAGAAGAAAAGCAGTACGGAAACAATGCCATGATCATAGCTGGATAGGCGCAATTAGCACGAAGACAATGCTAAGTATTCAGATAGATAGACTGCAGTTGGACGAAGAGCAGTACGAGGACAATGCCAGGAATACAGCTGGACGGGCCGCAGTTGGAAAAGGAGCAGTACGGAAACAATGCTAGGAATACATCTGAAGGCACCGCAATTAAGGGGGTACAGAAGCAATGCCAGGATCATAGCTGGACGGGCCGCAGTTGGAAGAGGAGCAGCACGAAGATAATGACAAGAATACAGCTGAATGCACCTCAATTGAAATAGAAACATGACGAAAAGGATTATCATTAGCAAGGCCAGTCGATGGTTGTCTTGCCTTATGAGCTGGAATGGGATTAGGAAGCAGCTGGCCGACCTTATTCTGCTTTGCGCTCTTCGACCGGTTTCCAAGCCCGTCAAGAGAAGGACGGCTCTGCTGAAATGGAGATGGGAAGACCTCGGGGGCTTGAGTCAGGAACACAGCTGGATGTACCGCAGTTATAAGGGGCAGCAGGACGAAGAAAATGCCAGGAATACAGCTGAATCTGTTACCAAAGACACCAGGGACACCAGGGATACAGTTGAACGCTCGAAATTGAGGTGGGAAGCAATACGAAAAGGATGCCAAGGACATAGCTGGATGAATTGCAATTGGGGTGAGGGAGGAGGGAGCAGTACGAAGAGAATGACAGGATACAGCTGAGCGCATCACCAAAGATACAAAGGATACAGCTAGACACTCGCACTTGAAAGGCAAAGCAGTAAGGAAATGGTCTCAAGGACATAGCTGGATGCATTACGATTGGGAGGGGGGACAGTACGGAGTAGCTGGATGCATTGCAATTTTGGGGGGATTTAGTAATACGAAGAGGTAATTCAGAAACATAGCTGCTTGCAGATCTAAAAGGCTTATTATAATTGCTAGAACTTTAATGAGATTCGGAATTTTGAAATTAGCATATTTGTTTCTCATCCGTCGACCCCTTTTCAAGGGCCTCGCTTAAGGACCTGATGTCTTGCATTCACTTCCGACCACCAATTTCTTTATAAAACGTGTTATATAGACAGTTGTAGAATAAAAGTCTATAAGTATAGATATATTACAGCCTCCTTAGTCAGCTGGTATTCAGCAATCAATGTTACAATCAAAAACCTAGAAAACCCTTTTTTATAACGTCTCGCGCTACTTACACCTACTTCACGTACGCAAAAGATCATTCTTATTGCAATAGATATGAAAACATAGCTTGAACGTTTACATTAGAGTTTACTGCCGGTAGAGCAGCAGTATTGCTTTGAATTGAATATTCTAATCAATCATTAGATGATATCATGAAGAATTTAATCCTCCGCCCGGTATACCTGTGGGCAGCTGATATAAATACAAGTAGCATATGCCTCGCGTCGATACATACTAGTATAAGGATGTTAAAAGAGTTTATCTTCATAGTCACTCTAGTTAGTGAGCTTCTTATGGCAACGCGTGTCGGACTATTGGCATTTGCGATAGAAAGCTCTTTAATGTCTGCACGGAGAAATAATACAAGCTACAAGACAGCCTCGGTCCAATCTATAACCACTCTATCATCTGGTCGATCGTTTTTAATGCCTCGAAGAAACTGGAATCGTGTTCCGCATGCTTTAATCACAAAGATTTGCTTCTCGCGCTATAAAGACTCCTCACTGCACCCGGAAGTCATCCTTTATAATCGCGAGCATCTCTAGATTTAAGATGCCGTAAGATATAAAGTGCTTCTTACGGCTGAATTCCATCCTTTGAACACCTCCGCCGTAAGCTTTACCGGGCTATAGTTACCGTGTTCTTATGGTAGTACTACTAAATTATTGTTCCTCGCTGCATACCTAGATCCGGCAATCTCTGCTTTGATCCTCGGGTTTTCTTTCCTTAACGAGAGCTCCTTTCCTCACTATGATCCATCCCATCTGTAAGGGAAGGGCGCAGCTGACGGTAGCCTTCTCTATAAAGCAACACCCTATAAAAGGTCCCAGGGCCGCAAGCTTCGCCTGCCACCCGCCCGACGTTAATCAATACTACCACTACTAGCTATCGGCTCCCTACTCATCAAACTGACGGGCAAAGTATTTCTATAACTCCCGCAATGTCTTAACGCTATTCATAACTATTGCTCAAGCGTCGCTTACCCGTTTGGATTTAATCCACGTGCGTTTAAGAGCACCCACTTCCTCGTTACACGTTCGTATCAAAGTTTACGATGGATTTTTCTAATTACTTCAATAGCTATTCATTATGTTAGCTAGAGGGCAAAGAAGGATTATACATAAACCCCAATATTGAGAGAAACCTAATTTGTGATACTTTATTCATTCCTGTTAAGATACATTAAAGAACCTTTATTAGTTTGATATTTGTTACCGGCAAACCGACACAACTTAAGGAGATGAGCGAGTTGATGAGTAGTCTAACCAAGAAGGTTAATGGAATACAAGGAAGTTAGATCATTCAGTCTGAGCAATTAAGAACGACAAGTAAGAACATAAAGAGTCTGAATACCAAAGTAGCTGCATTAGAATTGAATATACTACATCTAAAAAAATTGTATGCACGTAATGGGCTCATAAGGCACTGTTGGTTTGCCGGTACCGAACGTATCTCTCACCAACGTATATCGCACGTGGTCACTCGCAAATGCAAAACGACAGGTGTGAATGGCATATTGTTTCTGTTTACTTCTTGAGGCTAATGGCGGTTCGCTCTTTTGATATCAATAGAAGGAATTGAATTAAATAGCTATATAATAGCGTTTGCGAAGAGGTTAGGGCTCTTACAGCTCCTTCATCTCACTAAGCAAGACATATCCATACTCAGCGAACCAGGTCGATAATGAGGAACCGACAAGCACCCCTGGCAAGGTGACGAGGATACCTGTGATTCCTATCAATATTCTAAGGCTGACGTACTATATCAAGAGAGAGCTTAACGAGTTCTCTTGCTCGAGCCAACGTTATGAAGATATAAGCCATGTTCTAAAAGTACAGACGCTGCAGGCCCAAATCTGCGAAGGTTAAGCGATACAGACTAACACTGCCAAAGTACAGGCCAACGTATAATTGCTACTAATGATATGTATCAGTCCCCCGGGCCAACCTCGTGTTTCCGAAATTAGCATGTGATCAAAATAAATTATATTAACTTCAAATGAATATCTTCTCACAGAAAGAAATTTAATAATTAAAAATGTATAAGCCGATATTTAAAAAGCATTAGTGTTAACGAAAAAACAAAAGGTGGGTGGTCTTAGCCCACCTGGCTAATCTCGTTGTTTCTGAAATCGGCAGACTATTAAACTCAATTATATCAACTTCAAATAAATACGTGCTTGTAGAGAGAAAATCAATCATCAAAGATGGATAGTCCGATCTATAAAAGATATTAGTGTTGTTGAAAGAGCAAGAGGGTTGGTGGTTGTACATGTACCGGTACTACGTAGCTACGAAATTGACTTGGAAAGGTGGAAAAAGAGTACGAGGCCAGATTTCAGATCCGCAAGAGATACAGCGCCATATTTGCAAAACTTCATATAATATATTACTTATATTAGATCAGCGCTTTCCTAGAGGGAGGGTAGCATCCAGTTCCGTCCGTCAACCACCTTTCCTTTCCTTTTTTTTCCTTTTCTTTTACTCAGCAGACGAGAGCATGCTTAAATGATAGATAATAACAAAAAATACTAGGGCATGGTATGTAATGGCTGGCTGGCTCACATGCCCTATTGCGATCCTACTTATTGAAACGGGGGCATAATAACAATGTTTTCTTCCGGGTCAACTTCGGCACACACACCACGTTAAAAACTCACTCTGTTCCATATTCGAATTGCATTGAGTCAACTGCGATAAGTACAATCCTAAAATTATATATAGCAAAAAATAAAATAGATTCCTTTTACATTGGTTTGATTCCTTATGCGGCGATGACTTGAGTATTGATTCCGCTGACCTGATTTGAAAGCAGCAGGTCCGTGCCGCGCGCAAATTGACCTTCTTCACTCAGCTCCATCGGCTCCATCCATTCCCTTATAACTCCTTCATACCAACATCGGCTTCAATCTCTTACTTTCATATAGTCTTATTATTTCATTACCCTATCTATATTAGAGCAGAAGATTAACGAGCGGAGAACTTGTCGGTTCATTAACACCGACCTGACTCGCTTAGCGAGATGTGTATTTAAAGGCCTCCAACTTCCTTATAAACGTTTTGTTATATAAGTATTCGGAAGAATCATTTCTAATAATGTAAAAAGTTTTAGCTGATCCTAGCTTTCAAGAGCAAACAGAATTCAGATACCATTCAACTTGATTGTTTTGCAATTGCAAGTGACCACGGGCGATGCATGTTGGTAAAAAAAAAAATTCGCTGTCGGCGAACTAACAATTCATTATTGATCACGATAATTGAAAAAAATTCAAAAGCTTCGCTAGTAAGAAAAGATGCTATTTTAAAAGTGAAGGAGCGAAAGAACTTCAGTATCAGAAAAAGTTTAGGCCAAGATAATTAATTAGTATTGAAATCATTAAATTCTCACCGTAGCAAAGAGGTCTGTCTGCGGTGAGAACACACGCCTAGATATAAATTAGTATTTGATTTTCGCTACGTTATAAAGTGACCAGAATCTCTCTCGAGCGACTTAATCGTCGATTATCGACTAGTATTTACGGAGCTAGCTGCTTGATTACCGAAGGTGCCTGTAAAGAAGGTAAATACCCCCTTAACTCGAAAGGAGAGCGATTTACAAAAAGATAAGCACCGACTGCTAAAGATCTTGCGTCTCGAGATATCTTTTCCCGATCGATAGCTGTAAGGATCCGTAAGGGTCGTAGAGCTAAGCGCCCGGCTAAAGACCACATCTACTTGCGACACAGCCATTTGCTCGCCGAAGTCTTGTACGAGCGTCTTTTAAGTATCTTTAAAGGCGCATCTATCTTCTCCGGTGCCAAAGTCCGGAAGCAACCTATCCTAGTTCTCCGCACCGTCCATCACAACATGGGTAGCATACCGACTTGGCACAGCCCGGTCGCGGGCACTACCAAAGCGAGACACCTAGCAACCCGAGACACTTCCATCAAAATAATTATTAAACCACAACTATTATTATAAATACAATGAAAAATTATGCTTATGCTTAAAGAAAATAATTACACAACTGTGTATTTTAATGCTAAAGATGCGTTAATCTTCCAAGTCAAAACATCAGGAGCAAAAGTAGACCAGAAAGCCAAGGCCAAAATAGACCAGGAACGCCAGCTCCACCACAATACTTGCGAAAAATTGATCAAAATAATCAGATGGTGTTTGTCCGATCTCATTATCTTGACAACTACAAATCCAATCGTTAGAAAAAAACCGAGCACATTCAGTAAATAATTAATTCTACTATACTACGAAAGTAAATCCTTATTCCATAAAAATTAGTGATATAGAAAACATGTTTTTGAAGAAAGTCCGATTTTTCGTGTTCTTCGGCTATTTTAGTATTTACGAACAAGATCAGAAACATCAAAAAATGCAGCTCTCACTGCTTTAACTCAGCACAACTACAATACAATAACACATGTTTAGAATAATAACGTTTCATGATTTTTGAGCTGGATACAATGCATCTCTTTATTTGAAAATAATTACGATGCGATCGGTAGTTGATTTTCTATCGATTTTACAAGTAAAGTAAAAGTCCCGGATCGCTATGTATCCCAGGTCGCTGGGTGTCCCGGGCGAGTGTCTCGAGTGGGTGTCCCGGGTGGATGTCCGGGGTGGGTGTCCCGGGTGGGTGTCCCGAGTGGATGTCCCGGGTAGGTGTCCCGAGTGGATGT